TTGTACATGAATGCTTCTAGCTGCCTTATTCGTAAGAGCCAGAAAGTGGAAACAACTCAAGTGTCTATCAACTGATGACTGGATAAATAAAATATGATATAACACTTACAAGAGAATAACATTTGGCTATGAAAAGGAAATGAAGTAGTGATATATGCTACGGCACGGATGAACCTTGAAAACAGTATGCTGAGTGAAAGAAGCCAGACACAAAAGGCCATATATTGTAGGATTCCATTTATATAAAACGTTCTGAATCAGCAATTCCAAAGAGACAGAAAGGAGATTAGTTGCTTCCTAGGCCTTGGATGTTAGAGTGCTGGCTAATGGATGAGGTGTTTCTTCTGGGAGGAATGATGCAAAGTTCTAAAATTGATGGTGATGAAGTTTGTAGAATTATGTGAGTTTTAGGGATTGAATTGTGTCCTCCTCTTCCCCTAAATAAGTGTTGGAATCCTAACCCCTATACCTATGGCTGTAATCCCATTAGGAAATAGGGTTTCCTTTCTTATGTTAATGAGGCCCTATCAGTATAGGGTGTGTCCTAAACCTAATCACTTCTGAGTTGTAAGCAGCAGCGTAGACACAGGGACAAGGAAGTACAAATGAGGGGAGGGGAGACCAACCCTAGATGATGATGGAGGCAGATGAATCTACAAGCCCAGGAACTCCAAAGATTGCTAGCTACTAGAAGCTGAAATAGACAGAGAAGGACCTCCCACTAAAGCCACACTCTGAATTGCAATTTCTACCTTCCTGAACTGTGGCAAATAAATGTCTGTTCTCTAGAGCTCCCATTTGTGGTGTTTCTATTGCAGCAGTACTAGGAAACAAGACAGTGAATATACCAAAAACCAGTGAGCTGTACAGTTTAAAGGGGTGAGTTGTATGGTATGTGAATTATACCTCAATAAAGTCATTACAATTTTGAAAATACAAAGCAAGCTCTCAGAAGTAAGTTTAGAATAGTGCTCACTCATTTTAAAGGATCTGAACCAGGACACTGAAAACTCTGAGAGATTCTATTACTTAACATTCTAGGTACGAGGTTACACAGAAATTTTCAGGAGGATTTCCATGTTTTAATACACAAAAGGCATCTAAATTGAAAAAAGACATATGCACAAGCGTCAGAGAGGAGTTTTCATAACCCAGGGAGAGGGTAACACAAGGAGGTCATCAAATGGAAAGCAAACTTGATCACATAAATCTGCACCCTGAAAATGAAAGTGACACTCAAATGTATTGTTTTATTTATTATTGCTCCACCCACTAAGAAGAGGCCAAAGGTAACGCATCCCCATTAACCATATCTGTTTCTATAACACAAGTTTTGGAAAAAACAAAATATTTTACAATCATGACACATTGACTCTTCCACATTCCGAGTTAGATAGCTAAGATTTGAATGCTCCATTTCATAGATGTTAGAATGACTCTCCACCTCATGGTTGGCGTAGATGCCAAAAGAGACAGATGTATTAGCATAAAACTTAAATTTAAAAAATCCAACATTGTTTTGAAAGGCTATTTCCCTATCCTGAATTAGAGCAATCTGCAGGCAAAGTATCAAATAGTCATGAAAACTTCAATACTGGGTCCAGTGAATTTCACTTTGGGAAGGAGAACCCCTAAGATCTGGGAGTCGGCTGCCCCTACCTCTTGGCATGCTGGGAGCTTTTCCTCTCAGCAACCCCACATGCTCAAAGGCACAAACACTAAACTCACAGGTGGGGGCCGTGGAGGTGGGTCAGTGGAGGAGCAGCCACCAGGGACCTGACAAGGGGATAGGAAGAAAGAGATGGGATACATCTCTGCCATGGACAGTGGCATGCAGTCTCCTAGCAAAGGGCCTACAGGACCATAGCATGAGGCGGGGTGGTGGAGAGGCTGAGCTGATGGGCAGGGTATCGCAGAGGTCCCCAAGGGTCTGCCTGGGCCGAGGTACCCCAGGGCAGCCTCAAGATGAGTGGGTTTCTGCAGCCTGATGCTATGGGAAACTGGAACTAGGGTAAGCCCCCATTCGTGTGAAGGGGGCCACAGGAGGCAAGGCCTCACTTTTCTCCTCTATAACTGTGTTCTAGAATGGGTAAATCCATGGGTTCCACAGACTCCACGAACAGTCTGCTGGCCTTCGTTCTCCATCGATGATCCACTGCATACTGGGGCCTTGGAAAATGCTTTCTAGTCCCTGGAGGTCAATCTGAGCAGACAGAGGCTTGGAGCTGGAGAACATAGGGCTTGGGGCAAGGCAGAGCATGAGAGCACTGTACCATGAGCCCACATTCCAGGGCCAAGACCAATCCTTGCTGGAACCTCAGGGTCCTCCTTTGGAAGTGGGGTCAGGGTCACTGCTCTGGCTGTGTTAAAGATGTGTCCTGTGCAAACTGGACACCCAAGGCCAGTTGGGACAAAGAAGGTGGTCAGAAAGGTTTCAAAGACCCTCACCCTAACCTTGGAGTCTATGTGTCCCACTCATTTGCCCCCATGAGATCTTGGAGAAAAGCTGTCTTGATGACACTTGAACAAGGCGTATGTTTTGTTTTGTGCTTTCTCTGCCTGGAGCTGCAGTGCTAGCACTGGCTACCAGGGAGCAGTAGGCCCTTCTCCCAGAGGTAATCATGTACTTTGCTGGAGCCACAAAAGCAGGGAAGAGTCATCAGAGGTCATTCTGCCATTCCCCCTGATTCAGACCCAACTTGCACCTCCTTTATTAAGATCCACTTCTGCAGTCTGAGCTGGTCAGACTTCATTTCATTTATTCATTCCTCAACTAGGATGTGAATACTCACCCGTGTTATGCCCTAGGTGCAGTGCTCAACACGACTGACCTTGTCCCAGCCCTGCAGGAGCTCACAGTCAGGAGGGGGAGATGGACAAAGCATGTAGACACACGTGAAAGTAAAGAGCAAGTGCGATAGCGAGAATAGAGCAGGGTGCTGAGAGGGAGGCCTGGGGGGCTACTAGGTGGGAAGGTCTGAAAAGGCTCACTTAGGTGACGTTATGCAGCCATCAGAATGGCAAGAGGGTGCCAGCCCTGCACAAGGCTGGGAACAGGGTGCAGGGAGAAGGTACGACTGGAGCAGAGACTCAGAGGCACAAGTGAGTTTATCCAGAGAAGAAGAGCCAGTAGTGGCCAGTGTGTCCCCAGTGAGTCTGGGAGGAGGGGGTGGGGGAAAGAGGAAGGCAAGTCAGATCCTGTGGCCTGGTAGCCTGCATTATGTATTGGTCTGTGACAACATTACCCCAAAACTTAGTGGCTCAAAACAACAAGCATAAAATATCTCACAATTTCTGTTGATCAGGAATTAGGGCATGGCCTAGCTGGTGCCTCTGCCTCAAGGTCTCTCAGGAGGCTAGGGCTGTGGTCTCAGCTGAACCTTGACTGGGGATGGATCCACTTCTAAGCTCCCTCACATGTTCTTGGCAGGATTTGGTGAACTGTGGGATTAAGGGCCTCTATTCCTCTCTGACTGCTGGCCAGGACCCTCCCTTGGTTCTTTCCTACATGGACTTCTCCACAGGGCAATTCACCCTATTGGAGCTGCTCTCCAGAGTAAGGTAACAGAGAGAGAACAAGAGAGAGTGCCAGAATAAAATCCCATATATTTTGCCCTGCTCTGTTCTCTAGAAGGCAGTCATTGATTCCACTCCACACTTAAGACTGGGCAATACACAGAGATGTGTGTGCAGGGGGCCAGATCACTGGAAGCCAGTGTGCAGTCTGACATGAGGCAATTGGATCTGATTCTAAATATAATGGAAGTTTCTGGAGGCTTTTATGCCTGAGGATGATGGTATCTAATTTCTATTTAAGTTCATCCTTCTCATGGTGCAAACAGGGAAATGAGACCAAGAGCAGAAGTAGATTTCCCAATATTACGCCCCCAGAACCCAGCCCTGGTTTGAGTAATACTCCATACTGCTTCCCAACACTTCTCATATTTTATCTAACTCAAAGTTTGTGCACTAGCTCCCCATGACATCAGCCAATGTGTTTTATCCATGTTACTTCACAAGCACCGGATGATGTCCCTAGAAAGGAGATGCTAGCATTATCCCCACTGTAGAGATCGGGGGACTGGGGAGCACTCACAGGCACAGTAAGTGGTCAAGAGTCACATCACTGGTGAGAGGCAGAAGCCAGGGTTGAAGCCAGGTAAGTCTATTCAAAGCTGGGACACTGAATGCACCTAGGTTTCCTGAAAGGCCTTAGGAAGCACGGTATTGTCTTATCTGTCTAGAGTTATAGAGATGTCATGGGAGAGGAGTGAGAAACCCTCCAGGCCCTTTGAGAAGGTCTGTTTCAAGGAGTAGGCCAAGGTAAGGGGACACAGGAAGTGACCACACTTCCTTGGTGATAAACCCAACAGAACTTGGAACTCTCCTAACCAGGCACCCACATTCTAGAGAAAACTCCCTACCCAGCTAACTTGGGCAAAGAAGCTCAAGAGAGCAAGATGTTTTCTCACTGTTTATTGATTTCCAGAGACTGCAGACTCAGGAAGTCACGGAGTGAGAACATTTTTCAACGATTTGGACATTGGCTCCACCCTCATCCCCGAAGCCTCAGGCCAATTGACAGGCAGAAGCCAAACGTAACACAGAGTGGACCAGGGAAGGTCAAACCATGCCTGGCCATCACTGTGATCCCACCTGGGGGGTATCATACCCCTCCCCAACCATACCAGGCCCTGAGTCACACAGCCGTTACCCTCATGGAGTCTCAGTTTAGGTGGGCGGGTAGGAAATATAGACCTAAGTAATAAGACAGAAAGTGGTCAGAATGAGGTTGGGTCATTGGGGAAAGAGGTCGATTGGGGACAGAGAAGAATTGGTGAAGGAGAAGTCATGTGATTTGGGAAGATTTGCAAGGGGAGTTGTGATGATGATGATGGTGTTATGGCTTAGGGATTCCTGGTGTGTGCTCCAACCCCTGGCCTCCTAGTCGTTCATGGTGCCGCACCACAATGTATGTTCCTTCTTTGTCTCACCTCCAGAGTGAAAATGAGTCAGTGCTGAGCCTGCATAGGAAGTCCTCAGTGCGGACCTATAAAGTATTTACAATTGAAACCTTAGTAGAGCTCCTCGTGCCTGCCTTCCAGGACAACGACACTTCCTACATCTCTACCATTTTGTCCACTTACCAGTCCTTTGGGACCACCAAACAGATCTTAGAGGTCCTTTTCAAAAAGTAAGTGCCTGCCGCCTCTTTTACAGCACAGCGGTGACTATGCCACCTACTAGCTATGCATCTTGGGAATGTCACTTCACCTCTCTGAGTTTTGTTTGCTCCTCTTAAAAGTTGGAAAGTGAAAGGATCCCCAGTATAGGGTTATTGTAAGGACTAAGTGGGATGGCCATGTGAAGTGATTACTGAGTGCTGCTGGAGAGGTTGTGGTTGTTCATATTATTCATGTTCCTCTCCTCCATGATAAAGCTCTCTGCCTCACCCCTCACTGACACCAGGATCATGGCAAAAACTGTTTCCCCATTGAGAAATGAGGGGTTGAGATTCCATCTCGGGGTCTTATCACTAAAGATCCCTAAAAGGGCAGACCAACTGACCTACTCCGATAACTGGGAAGGTACAAACAGTACCTCATTAATTCTTCAAATATATATTAAACACCCACCATTTGCAGGTATATTCTAGGCACTTAGCATCATTCCTTGAGGAAAGTAGACACAAACACTGCCCTCTTGAGCTTACATTCTAGTCATGTATCAGACAGAAACAGTAGACTTCACAAGGGGGGATGCCCACAGGACATTGTTGTGAAATACACACGGCCTCTTCTAGGTTTGGATACATCCTCAGAAATGGCGGACCCCAGGACCAAATACAAAAGTGAGTGGACTTGGCATCAAGCAGGAGAGGTTCCTTTCTCCACAGACCAGTGGGAAGAGTGGAGGAAGCTGCTGCTGGGGAAAGGCTGGGCAGAATCCTGGGTCTCATACATCTTATGATTCCTGCTAGAGGCCTGAAGTCTATGGACTCCGCCTGTAACAGGAAAGGATTCAAACAGCTGCGGATGGGGTCCACAGTGCCTGGTGGAGTAGGTGGACAGCAGGCTCAGAAAGGGAACCTGAGAAGACCCATCCCCATCCCAGCCCCTTCTCAGTTCAGCTTGCCCCCATCACACCACCGCCCTGGGGCCCAGAACAGGTGTAGTGTCCAACCTGCTCCCCAACCTGGCTCAGACCTCAGGTCTGTGTGACAGTGGCACGTGGGGCTGGGGCAGGCTGCAACCCTGCCCTTTGGGAACACAGTATCAATGGGAGATGGGACCACACAAGGAATGGGGAGAATAAGGCAGCATATGGATGCACAAACTAGAGGTGGAGCCGTCAAGAGGGCCCTGGGAAGATGGGAGCAGGAAGACAGACTCCATTGTTCCCTCATCCATCAGACATTTATGGAGCACCTACTGTGTGTCAGCACAGAGCGAAGAGTGGAGCACCCAACTCCCCTGCCTTCCTGGTGTTACCGTCCAGGGAAGACACACAGAATAGGTCAGGCTTCCTATAAAAGGGGATAGTTGGTGAGACCGTGGATCCAGAGCTCCCTATGATGCAGGCTGTTTTCCAGCCCCCAGGATGGAGAACAGGCCGCCACTGCCAGCACAGTGAGAGTGGGGTGGGGGAGGGAAGCAGGGGTGGACCTGGCCTCTGAACAGGCAGGGCCTGGCAAGTAGGCCAGCTAGCCACAGAGATCCCCTTGGAGGATGCATGGAAGGAAAGGCCAGGCCTCTGACTGTGCTGCCCACCCACTTGCCCCCAGCGCCATCTCTTCCATCCAGGGCCTCTGGGTGAACCAATACCTGGAAGATTTCTATGAGCTCCTGGATTTTCCCTGCCTCCGGCTGCTGGTAGACTACACAGGGCTCAATATGCCCGGATCAGAGCGGGAGCAACGTGCCCGCCTTCTCCTGGTACACATGGAGCACCTAAAACCCACTGAGGCAGAGCCAGAGGGTGAGGCAGAATGAGGGAGGGTGTATGAGAGCGTGTGGGTAGGGGTACTGGCTGGGTACACAGGGAGGAAGCTCCCAAGTTTTGGTTGGGAAAGGAGCAAAGACTAGCCTCAGATTACTCATCTTGTGGACTGCAGTCTAGGAAGGCTTCAAGGAAGAGAGGTTCTTGAACTGGGGCTGCTCACAAAGGCAGTGGCATTGTTTCTATGTTTGGAAAAGCATATGGAAAGCAATTTATATTGGTGAAACTCTCCCCTTTTCCAGCTCCAGAACCAGCTCTGGAGCTACACACAGCTCCAGCATCAGCTCTAGTGGCAGCTCTAGAGCTGGAGGCAGCTCCTCTGGAAGCTCCAGAACCAGCTCCATCGCCAGCCCCAGCAGTTATACCACAGCTCAGGCAAGTGCCAGCTCCAACACCAGAGCCTTCCTGGCCCTCACTTGTGAGCACAATGCATGGATTGAGAGAAGAGAAGATGAACATCTTGTCGTTCCCTCCCAAACTGGTGGCAGAGCACTGGTGGACGTGGTGAGCAGCTGGGCTGGTGGGGTGTACCTGGGCAGACCATCATTCTGGCATTTGATGTCCAAGACTTTTCTTTCCCTGATCTGGATTCAGTGATCTGTATCCAAATCCCAGATCTACCGCTTACCAAGCATGGGGTTTGGACACATTTCTTAACCCCCTGGGCTGCTGTCCACATATGGATAGTAGACACAGGCTACTGACCCATCCTGCTGCATACAGTGACTGTGAAGATTCAGTGAGACAGGACAAATACTCACCTTAGCAGGGGATTGCTCCTTAAAAGGCTGAATGGTACTCCCTGATGGACACTCAGTTTATGGGTGGACCACCCTTCCGCCCAGGCGTCCTCACAACTGCAGTACTAATTAGGCACCTAATGTGTACAATGCTCTGTGGAAATCTTCCAAACAAAGGCTGTAGTTGTAACACCCAAGGAGAATGTGCATCTGAAGGGGGCAACAGACCAAAAGGGCCTATCAAGATGGGCAGAAGGGGGTACCTTGGCATGTGCAGGCTGGAGCCACCTTAAGGTGCTTTCTTAGTAAGGATGGCATGGGTGACAATACTGTGCTCTCTTCACTGTCAGAAATGAACCCTGGCTCACTCATTTACTGTGTGCACACAATGGGAGAGAACAAGCCAAGACATATCACAAGGCTTAAGCCACATCCTCAGCATCCAGAGTTCCCGCTCAGACCAATGGGCCCTGGCCTAAGACTGTGGGACTGTAGGCTCTGAGCTGGGGAATGACAAGTGACACTTCTCCTCCTCTCCAGGAGCTATTCAAGAAAGTTGTGCCCTATGACGACTTAGGCTCCATCTGGTCCCAGAGGAAGAAGAAGTGCAAGGAACACCTGGTGCCCACCATTCGTGCCACTGTCACACAGTTTAATGGTGTGGTGCACTGTGTAATCACCACCTGCCTGGGGGACAGGAGAACGAAGGTCCCAGACAGGGCCAGGGTGGTGGAGCACTGGATCGAGGTGGCCAAGGTAGGCTGTGAGTGAGCCCAGGGAACCTCTTTACCCAGTCCTGGGAACTCCCTCTTCTCTTGGGTCAGCTCTCAGGATTGAGATCGGTGGTTGAAGCCCCTACACAGACCCTAGTCCCCTCCTGTGCAGAGGCACACTGGCTTTGACTGGCTTGTGCCATTGCGGGGCACTCATTCCTACCTAAACTCTATTCTCAGGTTGAGGTAAAATCATCCTCCCTGTGGTCCTTGTCCTTTGGGTTCAAGTGTGCCCTGCAGGGGCTTTGTGAGCGTCTGTCTCATTGATGGGGGAGATGGCAGCTGAGATAGACTGAGGCTGCAGCAGGTGGAGGTCCATGTCTCTACTTCTTGGCTCATCCTTTTTCTTTCCCCAGGAGTGTCTGATCCACAGGAACTTCTCCTCACTCCATGCCATTCTCTCTGCTTTGCAGAGCACTTCAATCAATCCTTTGAAAGACACTTGGGCAGAAGTGTTCAGGTGGGCATTCTCTCCAATAGCAGCATGAGGGTAGATCTGGGACATCACACAAGAATGAGAATTGCCACCTCAGTGAGCCTGGGACATGCTGGGAGGAGGCCTGGGGGCAGGAACTGCTGGACAGGGTCTGGAAGCCTCCATGTGTCCTCAGGCCAGCGGTTCAGTGTCAGAACTATTTCCTGGTCTGTCAGATACAGGGTGGAGTCAAACTACTGATTGTCAGCTGTTCACTTCAAATCCCCATAACTCTGTCCAGTTGAAATCAAAACTGGGAAAAATCTAGCTCTTCAGTGGAAATGGGATGCGAGATCCTTGTTGCACCAACTTGAGACCTCACCACCCCAGTCCCAGAGAGCCCTTGCGTGCTCAGAGGAACCCAGATTGTAAACTACTCACCTCAATAGTTTATCCTTTGGGCTCTCAAACAAAAAGTATTTGACTCATACCTATCTCTGCATCCCCAAATTTCTCCTTCCTTCTTTCCCGTCCCCTTAGCCACAACTCCCAGACCTTTAAGAAGGTGTGTAAGAACAAGAACACACTGATCAGGGACCTTCCCATTAAGGTAAACTGGAGGCAGGGGATGGGGAGGGACAGGGCAGGTATATCAATTTCACTTTGAAAGTTTGTGTGAAAAATCCCAGTCTTGTCTTGAGTACAGTAAGAGGAAGAGAGATCCGTTTGGTCAGTGGGCAAGTGGGGAGCAGCGTTAGAACAGGACACCCCTGATAATGGGATGTAGGTGGTAGAGGCTGGGCTGTTGTAGGAGGGCTTGATGAGCTGACAGAATGAGTATGTCTCTGGTTTCCAAGCTAGCCCCTAATGATTGGACTCAGCTCCTCTGGGCTGTTGGTTAATTGGGCAGACAGGGGTCCTTCCTTCCACAGTGCGGCACAGCATGTCTTCAAGCAGACAGCCCTGTTATTCCTTTTGTCTGCACTGCACACCCAAGGGGTGGGTACCCCACATTGCACCAGGGATAAAGACCGCAGGGGAGTCCTGTGGGCCTTGTGGCCCTGCCTTGCGTCCAAATGGCTTGACCCAGGAGACAGATGTGCATACAGTCTGGGACTCCCTCAACCCCTTCCATACAGCAGATGCTGCTCATCAATCCCACAATCAAGATTCTCATCATGGGGTCTCCTTAGCAATGACATATGGCAAGATGGCTTATGAGAAGTGTCTAGAGACAAATGAATCTGGACTCTACCTCAGAAGCTTCCACCTAAAAGAGGAAGCAAAGTGCTCCTGGCAACTTGTGTCTGGTTAGTCAGAAATGGCCCTTTGGGAAACCCATTCCATAGTTGATTGGGACAGAGTTTTTCACAGGCGAGTTTCCGAGGGCTCCTTGTGAAGGTGAAGCCTTTGGCAATGCCTTGGGGGCAGAGACTCCAGTGGTGCTGCAGCAGGCCTTCGGAGACACCCTGTCCCTTCCCTCCAGCTGGAACTCAGCCTCACAACAAGAGGCCAGGAGGACAGTCTCCTGGTCAGTGGTGGGGGCATGGTGAAGGCAGCTGATCCAGGGCCTCCTGCTGGGAGAGAAGAGCTGGTCTCTTCTCTGACTCCCTGTGAGACCCTGGACACATCGCTGCCCCTCTTAGGGCCCCTGTTTTCTTATGTGGAAAATGGAAGGGTGAGGATGCTGTGGCCCTCCTCATGGGGTGGTGAAGAGGGTTAGGGGGAAAAGGTATGTGCACGAGCTTGTGTAGGGCTCCACCACGGAAAGGGTGATGGCGAGAACAACAATGAAAATAGTGACATAGTGTTGGGTCTTCAGAAGACCCAGTCGGGTGAGGGGAATTCCCACCTCATTTTCCAGAGGAAGAAAAAGGCTCAGGGGAGGCCAGGCTGCTTGCCCAAGGCAACACTCCAGTGAGTGTTGAGTTGGGGTTTGAATCTGAAATCAGAGCACACTGGAGGTGGCAGTAGTGATGTACCAGCTGACTCTAGTCAGGTATCCAAGGCCCAAACAAGAGTGCGGGAGAAGTAAAGTGGCCATAGGAGGATGTCCTCACTCACTCATTCTTGACTCTGACGGGGGGGATCTCCAAGTTTGTCACCCTGAAGATGAACCCCAAGAGGGTCCAGAAGGGGCAACAGCAGAAGGAGAAGGTGAATGAGTTGAGGTCAGGGAAGAGGACAGGAGGAGCTGGCTCCAAGTCAGGAGAGGAGGCGTCCCTCCTCCTCAGGTCCTCCCCTCCTGGGACCTCAATGTCTGAAATGCCTCTACAGGATATAAACTCCTGTGGGTCCTAGAAGGGACATGCCTGGACCTGTTAGTATCTTGGGAAGCAAATTATAGCCACCAGAGTTAGGGCCTGAAAGAGCTGGTGGCAGGGTGGATTTCAGAGTGGGGAGGGGCCAGGGACCACATAGGGTTTGTGAGTTGCCAAAAGCTGATCCCTCAAGATGATTAGAGGAAGTTCAGGGTCCATGAAACTGGGAATGGAGACTTAAGTGGAGGAAGCTAATGGTCCCCAGGGTGCTCTAAGTGGGAGCCTGCTGTGTAGGGCAAACAGTGTGAGCTTGAGGAGTTTCAGGGAAGGGGACTTTTGTGGCACCTGAGAGTGTGTTCATCCCCACCCTCATCCAGTGTTACAGGGTGTCATCCAGGGCACTGTGCCCTACCTGGGAGTGTACCTCACAGACCTGGTGATGCTGGACACTGCTTTGCCAGATTTTCTTGATGTGAGTGAGCCTGGGGCTGTGGGTGAGGAACCGTGATCCTGGGACTTGGGAGGAAAGGGTCCCTCTTTACTTATCAGTGAGATCTCACACATGGCGCCTTGTTTTATGAGAGCCTCACCACCGCCCCTGTGAGTTCGGAGAGTCAGGCCATCTTATCTACAAGTAAATGGAGGCTGAGCATAATCTGCCTGTCCCAGTGCCCCAGGCTGATGAAGCAGCAGAGTTTCTGACTGCAGACTGCGTGAGGTTTTGGCTGAGCTGGACACAGAGTCTCTCTCAAGGGGAGATATGGGCAGAGGAAGTTAGTTGACCCCAGCAAAGTCAGACAGTCCTTGAGTGTCTGAGCAGCACCTCCCTGCCCAAGGCCTCAATCTCTTCATCTATCATCAGAGAAGGCGGGGCATTATGATACTTTATCCTCTGTCTCTTTGTTCCCTTTCTTCTGGTGGCCAAAACCTGGACCAGAACCATGTGCTGGTGTTTGTGCTGCTGCCCTCTCCTGGGCTCTGTTGGTAGTGCACCAAAGGAAGGGCTAAACCAAGTGGGCGGAAAAACCCAAACCTGTTGCCCGGGAGTAGATGCCAACTAATAGCAACCCTATAAGACAGAGTAGAAATGTCCCATAGGGTTTCAAAGGAGTGGCTAGTGGATTCAAACTGCTGAGCTTTTGGTTAGCAGGTGTACCTCTCCGTAGCTCTTAACCACTATGACACCAGACCTCCTAGGATGGGCTCGGGGCTGGTAATGGCCTACGGGACCCATTCTGATGGAGATTGTCTGTGTGTCTTCCAGGGAGGTTTGATAAACTTCCAGAAGAGGAGAAAGGTGAGCAGTATGGGAACACACTGGGGGTGGGGGTGGAAATCAGAGCCCCTCCTGGACAGGACATTCCCTTGCTCCATCCCCTTTCCTTTTAGATTCATGGGGAGAGTTTGATGCACAGAAAAGGGGAAACATGTCCCACACAAGGGTAGGGCTAGGGGGTTGGAACCCAGGTCAACTTGCAGGCAGAGCCTTTGAACCAGTTCTAAGAAGAGGAAGGGCTCTGGATTGGAGTGGAGGGAAGACGGGACCGCATGGGAGGAAAGACCCAGAGACTGGACCCCTGCCCCTCCTAGCACACATACCCAGGCAGGGTCAGTCTCCTGTCCTTGCCTCTGTTCCCAGGAGTTTCGTGTGTTACAGGAGATAAAATTCATCCAGTGGGGCTACCAACACTACACCATCGTGGCCCAGGAGCAATTTGAGGCCTGGTTCCAGGGCATCAAGTGTCTCACTGAGACAGAGAGTTGAGGCCTGGGCAGCAATTGGCCATGGCAAGGGAGGGCTCTCCCTGCTGGCTGCTCCACAGAGCCTGTGGACTTGGTTTCTTGGTGAGCAGCAGACCTTGTTCCCTGATGATAGCTGAGGCTCCTGGACTCCAGCTTCTGGGTAGAAACTAGGAGGAAGACCATGAGGTGAGGGTCCTGGTAGCCTCACAGCTGCCCTCTGTCCTGTAGCTACAACCTGTCCTGTGAGCTAAAGCCCCAGACACAGTTGTCCAGGAAGAACACCTAGAGGACTTTACCATCTTCAAGGGCTGGTGCGAGTGAGCGTCCAGATCTGGGTGGGCAAGGGCTGGCTGCCCGGTGCTCAGTGACAGTCAGAGTCTAGCATGGGCTGGGGGAGTCAGACAGCCTGTGACCGAGGCATGTCTCCTCACCTTTTGTCCTTCGGTTTTCTGCACTGTGAAATGGGCTGATGCTAAATGATCTTCTAAATGGCTGGAACAAATGGGGTAATGTTGATTGACTAAGCACTTAGCCCAGTGCCTGACACAGACAACACTGTGGTAGCTGGGGAAGGGTGGACTGTGTCCCCAGGGAGGACCTCAAGGGAAGCTGACACCTACACCCAGCTGTAGGACCTGAAAGTAGAGCCCAGTACCAGCAGAAGATCCCACTCCTGTGACCAGCTTATCGTGTTCCTTTAATCGAAAGTGAGGAAACAGCCAGGAAGCGTTGAATACCACAGGGGCAGTTCAAAAGACAATGGACACCATACTGATGGCTGTCCTCTTAACCTGTGCACCTGACCTTTCAGAATGTGAGGGCTCCAAGGACTCCTAATTCTGAGTCTCACAGCACACCCCAGCGCACTCCTTCTCCATCCATCTTGGTAACTCCCCAGTGATTCCCGCCCCTGTGTGTGTTGTAGATTCTGGGCTTGAAACCAGTGAAGCCTGGAACCTGGAAGCCTGAGCCTGAGCAGAGCTGGAGATGACCCAGTGTTCATTGTTATTACCTTTTAGTTAGT